ACTCTGTCTCAAAAAAAAAAAAGAAAAGAAAAAGAAAAAGGAGTTAAATAATTTTTTAACCTATACTGATTAGGAAGAAAAGAAAAAAGCCATGTGGCACAATATAAAAATTGCAACTCTCAGCTGTGAGCTAGGCTGATGCCACGGCACTCTAGCCCGGGCAACAAAGTGAGACTCTGTCTCAAAAAAAAAAAAAAAAAAATTGCAACTCTCACTGCAAAATTCTGGGTATGTAAATACTGTTAACTAAAGGAGTGATTCTAATGTAAATATTCAAAATAATCATAGCAGCACTATTCATGATAGCCTCAAACTGGAAAAAATCAAATGCAGCATCAAAATACAATGGATAAATTATAGCTTCTTTATATAATACCACACAGAAGTGAGAATGAATGAACTACTGCTACGTGCAACAGCATGGAGGAACCTCACAAATAGCAGGCGGAGTAAAGGTAGCTAGACATAGAGGAGTCCGTACCATGAGATTCTACTTATACAATAACAATGACTAGGATGCAGGGGGCAGGCGCCTCTGGAATGTTGACAGTATTCTATTTCTTGATCTGTAGGCTGGTTTCACAGAGGATTTGCTCTGTGAAAATTCACCATGCTGTCTATCTGTGATTTGTGCACTTCACTCCATATATGTTGTACTTCAATAAAAAGTTAAAATAAAAGATACTATGCAGTTAATCATGTTAGCAAAATCTCATATTTCTGACCACCTAAACAGATGGTATCTCAAGTCATTCCAAATAATCCACTCAACAAATATTTATTGAGAGCTTTCCATGAGCAAGGCACTATTCTAGGAATGGGGGACATAAGAGTGAATGACACAAAGTCTCTTCTCTCATGAAGCTTACTTTCTGAGAGGGAGATAATAAATATATAACATGCCAGGTAATGATGAATTTTGAAGAAAACTAACACAGGAAAAGCAGATAGGGTTGTCAAGGAAGGCCTTTCTGATGAGATAACAGCTAAGCAAACTCTAAAAGAAGTGAGCCATTTTGCGCTCTAGGAAGAATTCCAGGCAGAGAAAACAGTGGAAAGACTGAGGCAGGGCTGAGCTTACTGCGTTTGAACACTACAGGGAGGCCAGTGTGGCTGGAGGGAGATTAGCAGAGCAGCCGTCCAACAGAACTCTGTGAGCACAGCTGTCATCATGGCGGCCACTTTCCACGTGTGGCTACTGAGAACTTAACATGCAGCTAGTGTGACTGAGGAACTGAATTTTTAATTTTACTTTAATAAATTAAAATTTAAATAGCTACCCGTGGTTAGTGGCTATCATATCAGACAGCATAAACATAGAGCCTCATAGGCCATGTTAAGGGCTATGATTTCCTGAGTGAGATGGGAAGCCACTGGAGTGTTTCAAAGAGTAGTGATGTGATTTGATTTAGGTTTAAAGGATCATTGGTGCTGCTCTTTGAAAACAAACCACTAAGTGTTTTGGGGAGGTGAGTGGGGCAAGAGTAGAGTCAGGGGCATGAGAGATGACAGTGATTTGGACTGAGGGTAGCAGTGGAGAAAGAAAGAAGCTGGATTCAGAATGTATTCTGATATATACATAATTTGACATATTCATAATTTAAATGTAGATGCCACTGCATCAAATGTAATAGACCTGGAATAAACCTACAATATTCATGTATTTAAATTTTTTCACCAATGTTATCTGAATTGAGAAAACATAAGATCCAAGCTAAAAGTCCCAATTCCTTTCTATAAAATCACGAAATGATGGTAAAACATCTGCTATGAGATTATTTCTATATAGAATCAGATCTTCTTAACTATTCATACAGTAAAAATAGAGAAATAATTTTTAAATCTTAATTCTTAATGATACTAACTTGGTATTTTCTAATTACATTTTATTTTAATAAATGTAAAAAGGCAAATATAACATACTAACCTTAATAAAAATGGATCTTAATTGAAGAGCCACTAGCTTTCTTGAAGGCAATGAATATACTATAAAGACAAGAAAATGAAATCATATGATAGTTAAAAATGAAAGTTATACAAGTTGAAATTAATATAATAAAAATTAGAGATTGAATAATATCTTTGGTATCTAAATATTTTCAATAATTAAAATACAGAACATGTATACTATATCATTTGGCTACAATAAAACATTTTAGAAGTACCTTAAAATGTGCAAGTGGGCTTTATTCTATGCAATAGATTCATTTCTGAAAAGTTAACTGTAAGAAAATATCAAAAATTATTTTTCTGACTTTAATTGTAAAACCAGAGAAATATTCCCTTGGAAATTTCTGGGATTTTGACAAATAAAATCATCCTTAAGAAAGCTAAACTTTTTGGTTTCTGTTATTCTCCCCTCTTCTCTCTAGAGAACAGCAACACTCATTGGGATTAACAGAAGAAATAGCAAAATACAAGAGAATGTTAGCCATGTAATAAAATCCCCAAAGTAGGTACAGTTGTGTTCTTTAGGAATTTTTTGAAAGACCTGAAATAACATATACGTTTCCTGTGAGGCAATTTATGTGTGCATTTTTTCCTGGGAAAAGGATCCATAGCCTTCAACACATTCCACAGGAGCCCGCTCTAGAGACACTTAAGGTTTCCCTGCCCAACTTCACTTCTAAGAATGAGAAGCTCTTGTATGAACCAAGGACAAAATAGAGTCTCTGAGGACACAGGATTAGGCCACTATGCCAAGGAGTAAGCTTTCGGTTACTATACACAGAATACAAATAACCCTGGACTGGGCAGGTCTTTTGGAGATCGTCTCCTGGCTGGTGTGACGCGGCAAGATCGGGGTATGCTGAACTCAGCAAGTCTAGTGAGCACCAGGTACACTGGGGCCAAAGAAGTTTAGAAATTAAGGAAAAGGGTATACATTTAGTGAAAAGGGACTAAGGCATAGGCTACTCAGGCCTCTAACCTACCTCTGACATATACATAGAGTCCAATTCAACAGTCCTGGGTGGGAAAAGAATTGATCTGTAGAGGGTGGGCAGGCTAAGCTTTAAAATACAAGACACACCATCTTCAATAATAGCAGTATTTTCCATCAGTGTATCATGCAATTCTTTTTTGTTGTTAGGTTCCTGTTTCATAGTACTTTTTTCTTCTGGCATGATACAATATGAAGGCAACATCACCTTTTATGTATTCTGCCCCAAAATATATACTGTATACCTAATCAAGCCTTTAGACCTAACTCTAGTTACAGAAAACACAGGGGCTAGAGGAACAAGACAAACGACACCACGAGGAAGTAATCAGACAAATGCAGAAGGCAAGATATTCTACAGGACAATGGGACCAGTCTTTTCTTCAATAAATCAGATTTGTGATGAAGGGGGAAAAATAGGGACTACTCTAGAGTAAAAGAGATTTCAAGGGCACAACAATCAGACGTACTATGAGTCCCGGTTTGGACAAACTAAGTTTAAATGACATTTTGGGGATAAACTGGGCTAATATGAATATGGATAATGTATAGGAAGATATTAAGAAATGATTAATTTTATTAATGTTATTTTAGCTATGTAAGAAAATGTTCTTATCTCTTAGGAGATGCATATTTATACATTAGGGAGTAGCATGTCATGATCATAATTTATTTCAAAATACTTCATCTTAAAAAAAAGTGGATTAAAGAACCATAGCCATACAATTGATTTGCCATCAGTTTGTATGAAAGGAAAGCCAGTGGATCTTCTACTTGAGTGAAGGTGCATTAGCAGGGTGGCATGGTGCCAAGAAGTAGGTCTCTGGAGCCAGGCTGCCTTGATTAGAATCTTGGTTACATCAATTATTAACCAAATGACCTTGAATAACTTAGTTATCTTCTCTGTGCCGTGGTTTCCTTATCTATAAAACTACTTTATGGAATAGTTGTAAGGATTAAATGAATCCATTTCATTCAGCTCATAGTCAATACTCAATAAATGATAGTTATCCTTAGTGGAAAGTATATGAACTCTAGTCTTACCATTTATAGTTCTTTACCCTTTAAGGCAATAACTGAAATTTAGTCTTGTGTTAACAAAGCAATCTTTCCTGCAGGAATTTCAATAATAGGGTTATTTCTCCAAAATGCATTTCATTATGGCAAGCTGAGAGACCAACAGGGCACTCAGTCATCAAAAAAAGTAACTGGATGTTCCTGTGTTTCATGATCAATAGGAGCTTTTCCCCTACTCCCTTGGTACTGTCCTGCATTATAACCCAATAGTGGTCAGTGGAGTGTAAACTGTGCTTCTTGACTAATCAAGCCTGATACTCTGATGAGGAATTACGAAGATTTATGGTATGGGAAAAGCGTAAACCTACTTGTGCCATCAGACAACTCGATCTCTATGTTAATAACCAAAACCAGGATGTGAAAGAATAGGGCAATGTGATTGAGCTGTGAATTCTACACATAGCTGGCACTAAGTAAATATTTACTGCAAACCAGTATCCATAGAGTCTATTGTTAATTTAAAAACAACTCTACCTTGTCTCAGAACCATGCTGATGTTTCACATACCTTCAGTATTTATACTAAGTTCTGTGGAATTTGCTTCGGCAGTCGCATATGGATTGTTTCCAACCATTGGCACAAGACAATCGGTATAGAAGTAACCAATCTTAGACATATTCAGTGTAGAAATAATCAGATCTATTGCAAGCTGGCCAACATTTCCAACAGAGACTGCTGGCTGAAATTTTAAAAGATATATTCAATTAGTCACCAAAGTTAGCAGCACTTTAAAAAATTTAGACGGTAATAATGGCTGGGCGCGGTGGCTCACGCCTTCAATCCTAGCTCTCTGGGAGGCCGAGGCAGGCGGATTGTTTGAGCTCAGGAGTTCGAAACCAGCCTGAGCAAGAGCGAGACCCCGTCTCTACTAAAATTAGAAAGAAATTAATTGGACAACTAAAAATATATAGAAAAAATTAGCAGGGCATGGTGGCACATGCCTGTAGTCCCAGCTACTTGGGAGGCTGAGGCAGGAGGATCGCTTGAGCCCAGGAGTTTGAGGTTGCTGTGAGCTAGGATGACGCCACGGCACTCTAGCCTGGGCAACACAGTGAGACTCTGTCTCAAAAAAAAAAAAAAAAAAAGAAGATAATAATCATAGTACTAGTATTGAATGCTTACGTTCAGGTGCATCATAGGTAGATTATTGACTTTCATTAGCTATAACCAAGATGTCAACTGGGGCCTCCTTCACCTTTAACAAATACTTATTGAACACCTACTATATGTCAATCATTGCCATAGACAGTGGGAATACAGTAAAACTCATCAATGAAAGTTCCTGCCCTTATGAAGCTTCCATTCTAGTGAGGGAATGGTTTACCTGAATAAATAAACAGTAAAATATACAGTGGTAAGCACTATGCAGAAAAATTGAGTGTGAGTGTGTGTGTATGTGGTTAGTTGCAATCTTAAATAGGGTGATCAAGTTAAGACTCCGTTCAGGTGACAAATGACAATAGACTGAAAGAGGTAAAGGAAGAAGCCATACAGAAATCTGGGAAAAGAATACTCTAGGGAGTGGAAAGCATGCTGTGAGGCACAAACAAAAGCACTCCTGGGTTTTTTTTCCATCCACTGTCTTAGTGCCTCTTTCCGTAACTATTCGCAGTGGGTGAAGGGACCTTCTTTTCACACTGAACATACACACGTATCCACATGACTTTAAGTAGCCAAACTGCCAAATCTCTACGTACAGCCCAAAACATGAATCTGAGCTCCAGAGCCTAATGGATGTCTCCATATGGTTGGGTTATAGGCAACTCACATTCAATATGTACAAAACTAAATTTTTGCTCAAACTTGTCCTCATATTTTGTATTTCAGAGAAGAGCAACATTATTCACTCAATTACCTAAATCAGAAATCATCCTCTTTTTCCCTTACCAACTGTATCTAATTAATGACTAATTTTTATTGATTCTATCACCAAAGTAGCTCTTTAATGTAGCTCCTCCAGCAACTGTTTTTTTTTGGCCTTCAGAGTGTTCTCCCACTTCTCACTGCTGTCATCTACCAATCCCCTAGTTACCTCCTGCAATTCCCTGCTCCAAGATTTTGCTTCTTGGGTTAGACTTTTCTGCATCATCCCTCTTTTCCTTGCTATTGGATTATTCCCATCAGCATGTAAACATGCTCTAATATCTTTCATTCTAAAAACGCTTTCTTGACCCCACACAAGCCCCTAGCTGCTACCTCACTTCTTGTATTTCTACATAGCCAAAATTCTCCAAGAGTTGTCCATTAAAACATAAGCAGGAACTTTATCTGAGCTAATGAATGAACATACACACGTCTCTACCTCTTCTACCATTTACTCAACCCACTCCAATACAGCTTTCCTCTTCACCACTCCACTGGTAACAGTTTGCCCAGATGACCACCATTAACCTATATTCTTCATCTTACACGTTTCTTGGCTACTTCTGAAAGATGGCCATTGCCTCCTTCTTGAAACAGTCTCTTCTTGGGGTTATGTGTTTGACATTTAGTGAATAAAAGAAAGATCGTTCTGTCTCTCTCCAGCCTTATGCCACTCCAAACAGTGCATTCTCCAATGGTGACTTCTGGGTTGACAGGGCTTCCAGCCTATGCTCTCAATGCATCATCCTAAATTCTGTGCAGTCCCCAGGTCCCCCATGCATATTTGCCTGTTTTAGACATGCATCTTTCCGAAATGTCCTACTCTCAGCTACCCCTCCCTCACCCCCTCTCCATCTTTTAGTCATTACTTTCTCTATGAAGCTTTTCTTAGCAGGCCCATCTGTCCCTCC